CCCCTCCTTTCCATGAGCCTACTCTGCTCTGATTGGTCAGATGACTCAGTCTGTTGTGATTGGTCTACCACGTACAGCGCATGTCAGAAACGATACGCCCATTGCTATAGTTATAGCTATATTTTGAACACTCGATAGGAAATATAAACATCTATTATTTATCATACTTACAGGTTGTGATTCAATGGAGCCAGTTGGTCCAAATAAACTGTGTACTGAGCCATCTTTCAAGAGCAAGCGTTTAGTGAAGCCTGCGTTATACTCCCAGAGATCAGAGAAGCAGTCATCAGTAAAATGACGGAAACACAAAAAAAATAGTTTGGGGTTGTACTGCTGTGAACTTTAACCCACTGATTCTTTGTAGCTTCATCTTTTAGAAGTGAAAATAAAAAAAAAAATACCTTCACAGCATATTGGACATGCCGTCTTCTCGACATGATGGCACTTTTGGCTTGACAACTTTGCAGATCGTTTACATTCACATACAGCTACAGTACACTGCATGAAAGGCAATATTTGAAATACCATAATAGGGGCACTTTAAAACATTCACATAACACAAATGTTGCGGTTCATTACTATGCTTTTAATTGTTGGTGCTTTTTATCTAATATAAATCTGTTAAATGTAGAAAAATGTAGTTGTATTTAATATAAACCTGTCTTAAATGTAAGCTTCAACACTGCTGACAAGAGATAAGGAAGGCTGGTGAAGAAAAGCTCAAGTTCAGTTTTTTCTCATGTTGTGGCTTTTAGGATTTATTTTATGTATGTTCTGCCATGGTGTCCACTTGCAAAAACAGAGTTTACATTGCAGCCCTGCTGTGTGTGATCATGAGCAGAGAGAAGGCAAGAGCCAATGCCAAGAGAAAAAAAGAAAAATAAACATACATATAAAACAAAGCAGAGGTCATGTTAGAAATAAGCATGAATAAAACTGGATGCTACGCTAAAATTCTTTCTTAAAGGGGTCCTATTATGCTCTTTTACAAAGTCTTGATTTTGTTTTGGGGGTGTACTAGAACATGCTCTCATGCTTGGTGGTTTGAAAAACGCATTATTTTTTCACATAATTTACATTATTAAAATACCTTTCTCCCCAGGCTGGCACAAACGGCTCGATTAGTTCCAGCTTTGATGAAGGTCCGCCTTCCGAAAAACAAAATGTGTTGTGATTGGTTAGCTGTCCCAGTGCGTTGTGATTGGCGAACAGCTTAGACGATGTTTCAGTACTGCCACGCCCCTTGCTCCGTCTTTCAACAAAAGCTTTTGGCGAATCCGGCACTACTCACTCGTGTTGTGGAAGCTGTCCTCAGTAAAATGCGCAGCACACAATAGCAAATTGGGGTTATAATGCTCAGGAACAGAGTT